ATGACACTTAAAATTAATTCAATATAAAGCAAACACAATAAAGTGTAAATTATAGATTAGCATAATAGTTATCATTGGTGGCAAAAATATATAATGAAAAAAAAAATGGCGGAAATGAGGTAAAACAGCAGTTTTTTTATTTTATTTTTTTTTTATTTTTTCCATTTATAAAATACTATTCGAGTCTCAGGGAATCTTATCTATCCATTATTGAATTGAAGAAATTATTGTCCATCATTAGAATCCACTTTTTCACATTTTTTTTGTAACTAATTTTTGATTTGATATTTCTGATGTATTCTGGGAAGAAGGTTCTCTAAAATGGGAAAAATCACAAGGAAAAATTAAATAAAAATTCATTATATGGTAAGTATTTTGTGTTGTATTCATAATACAAATTAAAGTGTTTTCAAAAATGAGGGAGATATGTAAAAGATGATGGCTTCAAAAAAGAGATGTTGGTAGAGCAGTCCTATCTATAATTTTTGATGAAGTCAGACTGAAAGATATCCCATAGTTAATTTCGAAACTACCTAAGAATGTATGGGAGATGTTTCAGATTTTTATCAATCCAGATGCAGAAATGAGGTGAGATCATAACAAAGTCTCTAGTCACCCAAGCATAAATTTGGGATTGTAGCAAGACAAAAATATTCCTATAATTATCCGAAATGGTCCTCAGTCCAATTACCAGGACAGGCATTTTTGAATTATTGATAATATTAATGATAGTATTTCTTGTTAATTCCTAAGATATAAAATAATAATCAATGAAGAAAACATGAAAACAAACATCCTAACCTTGTTTGATCCAACATGACAAATATTTAGAACAAGTTCTAAATTTCAGCTGCTGTTTGACGTGACGTCACTGATGACATCACAGATCTGTAGTTTGATCAAATTGTTGGACCATGAGACACAGCCTTTACTGAATCGAAAGTAGACGTTTGCTTCCTCATTCAAGGACACAAAGCTGTCAATTTTTACTCCCACGCTATAGCGACTTCTAGCGGGTTTATTTTCAGCAGCTGGCAACACTGACCCCGGCAGGAGCCGTCCGTCCGCAAGGTCTATTAACTTCTATGAGGTTGCCTCATAGCAAGGCTATTTAACTCTATAAGGTTGCCTCATATTTTTGCTGGCCTGACGTCACTGTTTCCCCAGTCGTCTTTTGTCGAGCGCCAAAATGAAAATGGCGGAGGTGATAAACAAAACAAACAAATTTAACATTGTGCAATTCAGTGAATTTTGATAAATTTTGAGGTTTTCCAATATGTTTCTGTATTCACGAGATGGTTTACTGTGTTCCCAAAACATGCAGCAAGTACAGAAGAGTGAAAACAGACATCTAGAAAGATATGTTATGTTCCTCAGTGCTCCTATTGTACAGACACATCACAAAAACTCACACAGTGAAATTCTTATTGCAATATCACTCCATCAGGACTGATTTCTGTTCAGACTTCTCAATAAAATTGTCTTTATTGAAAATTGCTTCATCAGTAGCTCAACCTCCATATCCTTAAATGCCAACAGAAATAAGTCCTGATGGAGTGATATCGCAATGAGAATTTGTCTGTGTGAGTTTTTGTAATGTGTCTGTACAATGATAGGAGCACTGAGGAACTTAACATATCTTTCTAGATTTCTGTTTCCACAGTCTTCTGTACTTGCTGCATGTTTTGGGAAAACAGTAAACTATCTCGTATATACAAAAACATATTGGGAAACTTCAAAATTTATCAAAATTCACTGGATTGCACAATGCCAAATTTGTTTGTTTTGTTTATTACCTGCGCCATTTTCATTTTGCCGCTCGACAAAAGACGACTGGGGAAACAGTGTCGTCAGGCCAGAAAAAATATGAGGCAACCTTAGTTGTTAAATAGGCCTTGGTCCGTCCGTTCGTTGATGACGGCCTGATTCATGAGTTTTATTTTTTTGTTCTTTCAGTTTTAATGTTCTGATTGATTGAATAAGTAATAAGATAAGCTTATAATATAAGATTGTGTGTACCGGCACCAGCACTATTTTTATTCCAATATTCAGTGGTTGTTTTGTTCATTTTTATCTTTAATAATACTCATTATCTGGTTTAGGTATGTGAATGATGAATACCTAGTCATTATTTTCATAATGTTCCTTTTTTATTGTGATCTTTTGTTGTTGTAACTACTTACCTATCTACCTTTGCCTGAATTGGATTATTCCCCCAGAGTAAGTGGACAGATACGCCACTGCTTTGTCAATGAGATTACTCTTCCTAAGGTATGTTCATGCTTGTACGAATTCCGCAATATTTATGCGAATCGCAAAATATGAAATTCCCAACAGAATTCGACGTTCATACTCATGCGACAAAATTTGCAGGAGATAAGGACTCTGTTGTCATATAATTCATTTATTTCTGGTCCCACCATTTTTTTTATGTTCTGGTTCCCACGAAAAGGGATATCCTGTAATGTTCAGGGAACATCGTGAGACCCAAGGGAAATAAGGTAGGAATTGGTGTTCTTCTTGAATTTCTGGAGGTTATATGCCTCGGGGAACACCTCCCTTGGCAATGTGTTCCAAAGTCTAGCTGTTCGTTGGATGAACGAGTCTTTGGAAAGAGATGTTCTGCAGGTCTCCAAAGTGACCACGAAGGGGTGCGAAGCCTCAACTCGACGGGTTAATCTCGTGGGGACTGCCAAGGGAGGTAAAATTGTTGATATTTCAGAACAGCATCGTCCATGAAAATATCTATAAAATAGAGCCAGATCGCCAACTCTTCTATGGTGTTCCAGAGAAGTGAGTGAGTTTGTGAGCGAGGCATCACCCACGAGACGAATTGCCCTTTTTGGGACAGAATCCAACAGTTTTAGGGTATGTTTGGGTGCCGCATTCCAAATATGGGAACAGTATTCCAGGGCAGGTCGGATCTGTGCCTTATAGATCATGACCAGCTGACTGGAAGTGAAATAGCTCCTGGCCCGAAACAAAAAACCAAGTTTTTGGGATGCACTTTTAGCAATTGCTCTCACGTGATTTTGCCAAGAAGGGTTATTGCTGATAGTAATACCAAGCATCGAAATGAATGTCTTCAAAGGTATGGTTACTCCTGAAATGCTTATGTTTTGCACAGTGAGATCGGCTTTTCTTGAGAAAAGGCATGCTTGTGTTTTGTTTGCATTGAAATCTACCAAGTTATTGGATCCCCATTCGAGAATTGTTGCATATTTATGTTGTCAACATTTCTTCCTCGTTCGTTTCTGATTTGCCTGGCTGGTTTTGGAGCCCTGGAAGAGAAGGCGGTATGGAGGGTACTATCACGAAGTATTTATTAAGGTCATTCAGTGGCATGTATCGAACGAGGCTGTAATAACCTCCATACATCTTTCGGTATTTAAAAATGATCCGAACAGTACAGCTCCATTTTTTGCTTCTGGATACATCATTAGCTCTATAGAGACGATACAAATGATACATTAAAATTAATTCGTCCAGAGAATTAATCCTGCGAAGAAAATTCAATCAAATGAAGAAATGATGATATTTTTAATTATAATTCTGTACTTACCTGTAGTCTAGTATCTAGTCTCGGCTTTTTGCGGCCTTTGCTGTTCGCTCCCTAATTCCCCAATTTTGATGTTATCAAAATAACAACACATTTTATGCATACTGTGTCGTTATGATTCCATCCGAATTCGTAAAAAAGTGCAAATATTTCAACTTCATTGCGATATTCGCAGTCGCCATTTTATTCGCAAAAACTTTGCGGAATACGCACATGCATGAACATACCTTTAGAACTAATGATAGTATATTATGTATATATATAAATTATAAACGTCCTTTTAGTAACGAGTATTGTAAGCACGAGTGGAGCAGAGCGGAGCGTGTGTTTAATAAACGAGTGTCTAGAAGAGTTTATAAACGCGTTACATACTATGATTTTTCTACGAACTCCGAAAATTACATTAACATACCTGCTATTCCTGCTAACCAACAAAATAATTCGAAAGGAATAGGAATTGAGAACATAATACATGCAACTGCATGCAACCAGCGAGACACGTATAAGTGATATTGGTTGTAGATGTGTCCAGTCCATTGCTTACTAACCTCTGTTTCACGTTTATTGTCATGCTTAGCGCAGAATAAATAAATTGTTCTCAAAGATGAATGCTTCATTTTTACACTTCTTGGAGATATGCAAGAACCAGAACATTCTCTTCGATTTCACTTTCGTCTACATTTCGCATATATTTCTTATGAAGACTTCTGATACAAACGAATATTGTTTCGATAACTCTGATACAAAATTTGAAAATAACAGTTGACAGCTAATACAATTGACAGGCCAGACATGTCTCAAATTACTGAAGCTGTGTTTAATGAACTGTGTTGCCATGGTAATGTGAGAGATGTATAGAAATTTAACTGGTGGGCTCACTCTTCAATTGTTTCGTCAGACTAACTCTCGATATGGAACAATTGCAAGCGAGTTTTGGACGTGGGGTTCAGGTATTTGACGATAGAGGCGCCATAATCGGAAAATCGTTCAAAACCTCGGTTCTGTGAGGGATGAATCTATTTCCATCATTGTTCTGACATATTGACGTTTCGATCCTTTGATCAGAAATCAGTTCACTGCTCTGATCCAAATCATATACGTATCCAAATATTTATCGGTCGGTAATATGTTTCCTGTAAATATGGATTGTAACCAGGATGTGCTTAGCGAGATTTACCCACGTCAAGTATGTTTATCAAAGGTTTATCAGAGTAGGCGCCATCGAGAAACTTGCAAACGACCTTCAATAGGGAGTAAGCGCACCAGTTCTCTGTAATGTGTTTGAGAAATCGTGTTGCCATGGTAACGTGTTTAATATTTTGAATAAATCACAGATCGACAATCCGTGATTAATCGATCATTTAGCGTGGTACATATCCGTACGCTAAATGCCATTCTAGTTATGTGAGTAGAAAAAGCATATTTTCGATTTGATTTGAAGGCCGCTTTGAACTTCAACCACGCCGTGCCGCTGCGCGAGAACCAGAAGATGCAGACGCTCCTGCTGGGGCCGCTGTACGAGCTGTCGTCGGTGCTGCACGGCGACGTCAGACAGAAGCAGCTCGAGTGCGTCCTGCAGATTCTGCACACGAACGGGGAGACCCTGTCGCACGGCTGGCCGCTCATCCTCGGCATCATCGGGGCGGTCAACGATCAGCACGGGTGAGTACAATAGTTATTCATTATACAATGGAAAAAAGTATCAGATTTTAGCTGGAGGTTGTGTTGTCGCCTGACGCCTACCGGAGGGATACAAAAAACCGAGTGCTAAAATCTAATAGGTTCTCGTGTATATACACTATATTTTTCAATCACAGAAAAAATTATGATTTAATATTGAGGAAATATCACATTATAATAATATCAGAAAATTATCCATGCAAAATTTCGAGTTTTTGACTGATAGCCCAGGCAACCCAGGTAGCAGAGTGACGTCCAATTGACGTCATTTTTTGGTCATAAAATGACAAAGTGGACGTCCAAAAATGACATCTGAGAGACCCTATAATGACGTCAAAATGTCACAGCCATATGACGTCATACTTAGACGTCATAATGACGTCGCAGAATGACCAATAAAGGACGAAATAAAAAAAATAAGGAGGTTTATATATATATATATATATATACGGTATTATTGGTACATGATAATACACCACAAACCTTTGATGACATTGATTTTGTAACTTATACGTTGTGGTAAACTTGGTTGATGGTCCTCCCGGGCAGTCCTGTTGAATCCTAGCGCTATTGCTACTACCTATGAATCTCTATATGACTATATATCGTTAGCTACTCGTATTTGTACCTAAAATTATGTAGCGAGCGTCGGCGAGATGTAAGCTGAATAAACTTATTTTTAGCTAAACTATCCATTTCTGAGAAATCCTCTGCAACAGGTCGATTTTATTTCCGATTTGCCGCATTTGAAAGTAAGAATCATATATATACAGGGTGATCCACGTTTAAGTTAAGACGTCCGCGGCAATTTTTTCAATTGGAAACTATAATAACCTATATAAGATACATTAAATTTTTGAAATATATATGGAAATCTGAATTCAAAAACATATTACACATAGGGTTTGTATACAGTGTGTCCGTTAAATTGAGTCATCTCGCGTGAAGTAAATAAAGTAGCCAATCAATGTACTTATAACCATACAATTCCTATCTGAGGAATCTCCCAAAATAGGTCGATTTATATTTCAAATTACCAACATTATTGAGAAAAAATTGAATATACAGGGTGATTCAAGTTTGAGCTACAACGTCCGCGACCATTCTTTCAAAGGAACACCCTGTGAATTATTCGATTTTTGGAGTCTCTATGGAAAGCTGGATCCAAAAATATATGAGTTTCTATACAGTGCGTCCGTTGAATTAAGTTCTTTTGCGAAGTTGCGAATAAATTTGTTGAAAATTAGAAAAATATTTTTTTTTCAGAGAATAATGCTCGAAGTCGTAGAATTTTATTTTTATTCAAGCTTTATCTCATATTGGATCAATATATACAGAATGATTCGTGTAGGAGAAATTACGTCATCTTTATATTTTAATGGCAAACCAATTTTACGAGAGAACTGAATTTAACGAACGCCCCGTATACGAACCCTTTGTGTGATATACATTTGATTACGAAAATTCAATAATTTATATCCGTTTGAAAAATGTGTCGTGTACGTCATAATACAAACGTGTATCATCCTGTATATTTGATGATTCCTCCGTAGAAATGTTGAATTAGAGATAAAAGCCTCTCCTGTTTTCTCAGAAATATATAAGATAGGTAGATATTGGATAATAATGAATTTATCCACTACTTCCCGAGAGCATCTGATTTATTGGACGCATTTACTTATACAATCCACATGATTGTGTTAAACATTTTCGAGTTCCGCTTCCCATGGTTATTTCAAATATTGAGTACTATATAATAAGGTGCTCTATTTAAAAAAATTGTCGTTATGGTCATAACTCAAACGTGGATCACCATGTATGTATATTCAATTTTTCTCATAATATGGCAAATTGAAAATGAAAATCGACCGTTTTCAGCAGATTCCTCAAAAATGCATAATTTGGCTGAAAATAAATTTGTTCATCAGTACTCACGAAAACACTGTATAAACAAACACAAATTTAGTACGTACAATTAACAAACGATGAAAAAGTAAGAAAGCAACTGATTTTTTTTATTTGGTCGAATATACGACTTTGTAGGGACGTCATTAAGACGTCCAATATTGAACGTCAATAAGACGTCATGAAATATGACGTCATTTTTAGGTCCCTCTGAAGTCGAGGACGTCATTGACCAATAATGACCTAAAAAAGACGTCATTATGACGTCATTCCACTAACCTGTGCTACCTGGGAACCAGATGACGTTTCAGTGCCGTCTTGTTACGTCAGTTGAATGATCAAGGTGACGTCAGGATTCGACGTCATATGACGTGATAGATAACGTGAATAAGTCACAGCCCAATGACGTCATATTACTCACGTTCATTGACGTCATTCACTCACCAAACTGTGACGTCGGACTGACGTCGAAATGATGTCGAAATGACGTTCAAATTTGGCGATGAGACGTAAAAAAGTTTCCTCAAACATGGTGTGTTAATCACCAGTGACCTCTGATGACATATAATATTGATTATGCATTGTTGAGTCTGCTTGGTGGTCCCTCCGATGTCATGTCCATTCAATCGTCTATTCAGCAGCGCTATCCCTCAGTATGCATCTCCATCAGAATGAAATCAGTTACTCGTATTTATACAGGGTGGGCCACCAGTAACGCCTCGGTCTCTAGAAGGCTAACCACTTATCTTCTTGGAATTCTTCCTCTCTAGGAAGTTGCATATCAACATAGGCTACCATTTGAAATTATTTCGAAACATACAGGGTGTCCCCAAAAATCACAAAACACTAAAGTTGAACTTTTTTCAATCGAACACCCTATATATTATTTCATTTTGAGATTCTCCCTGGTGAGCTGATTTCAACAATCCATCATACTTGGGGTCTAGCAGTTATAATTACTGAGATATAGGGTGTGAGAAATCGAGATTTTCCAAGTTCAAGAATTTTTTTGTGTCTAAACCATTCATAATTGGTCAAAACGGCTGACATGTCCCTATCACAACTTTTGATCAACTATCTACTGACATTTAATTGAAACAAATACAGGATGGTGCAGAATTCAGAATCTTGATCACCCGGTATATGTCCCAATTAAATATCAGTAGATAGTTAATCAAAAGTTGAGATAGGGACATGAAAGCCGTTTTGACCAATTATGAATAGTTTCGACACAAAAAATTCTTGAACTTGGAAAATCTCGATTTTTCACACCCTATATTTCAGTAATTATAACTGCTAGACCCCAAGTATGATGGGTCATTGAAATCAGCTCATCAGGGAGAATCTCAAAATGAAATAATATATAGGGTGATCGATAGAAAAAAGTTTAACTTCAGTGTTTTATGGTTTTTGGGGACACCCTGTATGTTTCGAAATAATTTTAAATGGTATCCTATGTTGACATGCAACTTCCTAGAGAGGAAGAATTCCAAGAAGATAAGTGGTTAGCCTTCTAGAGACCGAGGCGTTACTGGTGGCCCACCCTGTATAAAAAAATATGTAGTTCGTGTCGGCGAGATATAAGCAAACCAAGAACAGTTTGAAAGCAATGGAAAGGATGTTGACGAATTTAGGTTCCCTTTGTTGAGTAACATATATTCATGCATTACTTGTCATCCAACAAAAATCTATGTATCAAATTATTGAAAAATTTTCTGAATGACGAAGCTCACCAAATTGGTACGTCACACCGACGTGAGCTTTAGACGTCATAGATACGTCACTGCAACGTCATAAAAGTGACGGTTTCAATATAGGTACACCTTTTCATTTGTATATATACATATGTGGCTTGACTGGTTTCCGAGATATACAGGGTGTCAGAGTTTCAAAAAGTTTTCTCTTACTTTTTGGGTATATATAATTTCAATACAACTTGCATGTTGATTTGTTTTAATGAGTTATACTTCTTTCGACGTTATAAGCATATATATAAAATTACCAAGACGTACATGTTTCTATATATCTGTGTAAAATTAATGAAAAAAACGATTTTTTCTGAAAACTTTTCGACACTGAAAATGCCCATCCTCTATATATGTATAGGTACGTCACAAACGGTTTCACATGATAATGTGAGTATTCATGGTTTTGAGATGTCTGGGAAACATGGACGTCGACAGGACGACCCTGCAACGTCATGAAACTGACGTTTTATTTTACCCTTGTGACGTTCACTCGACGTCGAGATGATGACGTAATTATCACGTCATAGTGACGTCATAAATTGGTGTGTGACGTCTCTGACGAAAAATCACCTATTAGGAACGTCACAGTTTTTATTTCAAAAAATTGCGAACAGTGGTTCTTTCTGATGCAAAAAAACAATCACGTGCATAAAAACTTCGAGTCTATTCTGCATTACCGATCTCTACCCATCGTTACTCAACAAAAAGTAGTTCACTTCATAGATACCGCCCCCTACTGAAAAATATCTTATTTTCTTATATTTATATTTATTGGTTGTATATGGAAAAAAAATGTGTTTGCAACGATCATGTAATGACTGCTCGTATCATAACTTACCCCATATATCAATAGGTATCATTACATTATCGCATAAAATACTATTATTCTTGAGGTCTGAGACTGACTTATGTCACATGAGAGAATGTTGTATTTTCAGGGAACATCTAGTGAAAATTGCATTCCAATGCCTTCAGTTAGTCATAACGGACTTTTTGCCTCTCATGCCTTGGAGGTGTTTGCCATTGTGCGTCGACACCGTTGCCAAATTCGGATCCCAAACGCAGGAACTCAATATTTCTTTGACTGCAGTAGGACTGATGGTGAGTGAGTTTTAGATGTAATCAGCTCTGTATGTTGGTTAGACTGATGGTTTACAGATATGGTTCCATAGAATAAGGAACAAATCCAAAATTATTCAGTTCAAGTCAACTTGAAAGAAAGATTTTGTTATTTGTCAAGCCAAAAAAATACAATGATTCCACAGAGGCTTCTCTGCTTGGTAGGAATAATACAGTATATATACAAATATGAACAAATACACAGTAAAAAAATATTAATGAGTAGAGTCACTGGATGGTATTAGTTTGATGAGAGTTCGGACACAGCTGAACTTTTGTCCTTTTCTATTTTTTATAATACAATGGTTTAAGTGAATAAAATGAATAAGACATATATTCTGCTCTTTGTCTTTTCAATTTCCCTAGTAGTGCCTGATTGTCAGATACGATTTTAGAGGTTATATTTTCTGTCAAATCAATCATAGCCGTAGATGGACAATGGGTATAGGGTAGAAACACCCACTTCAATTTATAGTAATACACTTCTAGCAGAACAACTGTTATATAAATGGAAAGAATACATGTAACAACACTTTAATATTAGAAAATATACACATATGGATAAACTTATAGCTATTATTCCTTATTGTATGTGAAACTGTACTCCAGTAATGAGTGTTAAATTAAAGGTAGGTATTCTCAATATACAGGAAGTAACATAAGTACTTTCAAGTGAAGTATTCCTGAGACAATTATAAGAAATAAAGTCTATATAAGCTTTTGTGTCCGGAAATGCTTCATTTCGGAGATACAGAGTGCTGAAATACAGAGAACAAATCATTTTTCGATAAACATTTGATAGGAAAAAAGTAGTTTATTTTGACGGGACCTACCAAATACTTGGTTTTGTAAAGTTCTCAGCAACTCCACTTAGCGCCCTAGGAGCTAAGTAACATGGATCGATATAGAAAATATCTCCAAAACATGAAAGTTCAGCGTAATTAAGGCCCTTATAATAATTCCCTTGATACATAAATAACTATTCACTTTCCACTGTTGAATTTTAAATTTGGTCGGCACCAAAAACGTCATTCAATAATATATCACTTTGTAGTTTACTTGCTTTTCTTAGTTTCGTTTTCAAATTCTCAATTTCATTATCTAATTTTGCGATCATTTCCTCTTTTCCATGATTATTTTGTTTTGTATTTTGTGTGATGATAATAATGGAATTTTGTTCTCGAAATCGCCAGCTTTGTAAATTGATGGAACAGAAGATTCTCACGAACAGATTTTGAAATCTTCTGTTTGAAAATGGGCCTAAATATAGTTTCATTCTAATCAGATGCTGTTATAAAAAGTGAATTTCAATGAGTAGGTACCTCACAAATTCCGCTCGTCTTCAAATTGATATTGCACCCAGGCCATTTCATATATCTTCCTTCCATAAGCGAATGGTTGATATTTGTTTCGGAAAATTGTATAAATGATATCCATTGTTTTCAGAATCGGCACAATTTATTACACAGCAAGTAATTTCCATAGCTGGTTTCATCTCGAATGTATAATTATGAAATTTTATTTCAATTCTGACTTTTATAAAATGTATCGTCAAATTCAAACAAATTTGAATGAAAAAACGCGGGACGACTATGGTGCTCTTGTCACAATGCAAAGTGTGGAACTTAATAAATCTAAACATTCAAAAACCCTAACCGTTGTCATTTCTGTGTCCGAACTCTTATCAAACTAATAACATCCAGTGACTCTAGTAATGAGGTGCTAGTTCGATAATTTTAAGTAAACAAAAAATTTCACTTTAATACAGGAGAAACCGTACTCGAGAAGAAGAGTAGAATAGTCATCTATGATCTTGATGAAAAATGAGAATAATGAAATTATTTTGCGGAGATTACGGTATTTCAACTTGTTAACATTGTGTTTGCTTGCGCTAGTTTGTTATTGACCAACTCTTGTAGACGTGGTCGCCACATCAGCAATCATATTACCCGGCAATTCTGATAATTTTTTTTTCGTTGATTATAACAGTAAACGAATTGATATTAAAAAATAACACATTCACATGTTCATGTCATAATAACTTGTCGATTTTCAGTGGAACATATCCGATTACTTCTACCAAAACCAAGGCAAACTGAACCAGGCTACTACCGAGGACAACGCGGTGTTGCCGGACTTCCCCGGCACGCTGAACGTCTCGAGCTTCGACAAACTCTGGATGTGCCTGTACGCCCGCTTAGGCGAGCTCTGCGTCGACAGCCGCCCGGCCGTAAGGAAATCCTCCGGGCAGACGCTGTTCTCCACCATCGCCGCCCACGGGGGGCTGCTGAGGCCGCCCACCTGGCAGATTATATTGTGGCAGGTGCTGTTCCCGCTGCTGGACAAGGTCAGGAGCCTGTCGAATTCGGCCAGCAGCGAGAAGTTCGATACCGGCGGGAATATTCTGATACACCATACGAGGAATACGGCGCAGAAGCAATGGGCGGAGACTCAGGTGACTTGCTTCTTTTGTTTTCAGATGATTTTTTAATGCCTAATAGTAGGGAGGGCCTTACTATGGCCTGGGAAAATTTCGAGGACCGTGGGAAAATCTCTACCCTTTGATGTTGCCGCCTAACCGCAAGGTGCTAATTAATTGGCTTTTAATTGTCGTTATCTCGAATGGAGTTTCACAAAGTCATTGACCGCCACCCCCTCCACTTTTTTCTCTCTCCCCCTCCACCTCTCACCGCCTGCCTGTAACGGGTCGTCATCATCGGCGAGCAAAGCGAGAGATCCGTTCCAGAGATAACGATGCGCATTTTATTCCATTTTTCAACAACGGCTATATACAGGGTGTTTGAGTTGGGTAATAGTTTGGAAAAAAATATAGGATGAACCCAAAAGGCGTTATACCTCTCCGACCTACATATAAAGGCTACCCGCTATAACATGATATATACAGGGCGTTTGAGTTGGATAACAGTAAAAAAATATACAGGGCGACTCATTCACTTTTGAGGGATTAGACAGCTGACGTATGACAGATAACAAAGGATTGATGACACGTGACTAGGCGACCTGCAAGTCGGCTATCTAATAATTTAATTCAATATACAGGGTGTTTGAGTTAGCAATAGCGATACAAAAGTATATACAGGGTGTCTCACAGGTAGCAAACATACGTATGACAGAGTATCCGTTTGATATACAGCAATAATAGCAATACAAACTCGCATAGGGCACTCGTGGCCTGACGTTTGACATTTGACAGATGACCAAAAACGCAAAACGGTGCGCATTTAATTAAATTTTTCACCCAATAATGGCTATATACAGGGTGTTTGAGTTGTATATCAGCTGAAAAAATATACAGGGTGATTCGCAGTAATACTACCCCACTCTAGGGTATCAGAGGGTTGAAGAGGGTGCAGGTACTCTAAGAGAAGGATTTTTAACAGGCACTTCGAAAATAATGGTTTCTCTATATGCAAAGTCTCAAGGTTTATGAGATATCATTTGAAATGTGTGTGTGTAAACGTTCAGTTATGTGATGGAAATATGTCGAACAACTCTTTATCAAAACTCGTTCAATAACATGATATATACAGGGTGTTTGAGTTAGCAATAGCGATGAGAAAATATATACAGGGCGTCTCAGGGGTAGACTCAGCGAACATACGTATGATAGAGTATCCGTTTGATATACAGCAATAATAGCAATACAAACTTATATAGGGCACTCGTGGCAAGAAGTTAAAGGTGAACTCAGCAAAAGTGTGACAGATGACGCTATTTGACGATTCCGATCATTATACAGGGGTGTTTGGATAGCAATAAGAATATATACAAGAAGGCAAGAACTGACAGGCGGACCCTGCGAACATATTAACGTACGACAGATGACTCGCTAGAGTCCGTTGAATATACAGGGCTTTCAAATAGTAATACAAACTTGTATAGGGCAGATCAATTAAATTCAATTGGATTAAAGGAACTTACTCAGTCCGAAATGGCTTTATTTCTGAGATACAGGGTGGTAAAGTTGTAGAATGAAAATCGAATTATTCAGACATTCAACAACTAAAGTATGACAGATGACATTTATACTATTCGATAGATGACATATTACGTATGACACGTAACCTTCCAGCGCTTATCGAAAACAGATATCCAGGTTTAGCACAACCTACGAATTTCAAGAAAGCGAAAGAGTTAATTTTTCCCTAGATTCTACGGAAATTACAAGTTACGTCCCATAAGTGACTGCGTAAAACAAAGCAGAGTTTTCCCCAGATCTACGTACTTTTTCGCGAATATCATTATATACAAAGCGATTAGAAAAACCTAAGTCAACTGAAAAAACATATACAGGATGAGCCAAATAAGTGGAGTGGAATATATATTCAAGAAACATATACAGAATGAGTCACAAATCTCGAGTCGAATGAATTATTTGAAAAACATATACAGGGGGTAGAAAAAATTCAAAATTTATTACCACTCATTCAAATAATAATGAAAAACAAACTATCGAACTACCATGAACCCAATCACGATGTAATTCAATCAAATGGATGATAGATGACATGACAGCAGATGACCGAGGCAGATAACAAACGATCGAATAGCAGTTTCTATATACAGAAACATAGCCAGAGTCTTGAAATTCTCTATACTTATAATGATAATATTTGACATCAGGCGAACTCAGCATACCTATACCCTGTAAAAACATCCTTTTACCGTCCACGTCGAAATATGTCGAACAACTCTTTAGCAAAACTCGTTTTTCTTATGGAAGTATTCAGATGTATTCAGAGGTCTTCAGATCATACCTTCAGAAGTATTCAGATGTATTCAGAGGTCTTCAGATCATACCTTCAGAAGTATTCAGATGTATTCAGAGGTCTTCAGAGGTATTCAAAAGTATTCAGATGTATTCAGAGGTCTTCAGAGGTATTCAAGAGTATTCCGAAGATATTCAGAAGCACGAAGTTCGAGCTACCCCGTATGCAAACAGGAAAAAATAGGATATAAATACCTGAACAGCGAAGAAATTCACCATTTTCAGACACTTTTCACTGAAACTATGCACATGACACTGAACAGAGTATAGTCCGACACTTGGGAAAAACCCCAGCTCCTAACAGGTAGTGTTGAAAATCGAACTAATGAATAGAAATGAAGAATGATTGATTCAACAAAAAATATAACCAATCACCCCTCATTTGTCCATGCAAAAAATTCGAAAATAAATAGGCGATAACTTCATAAACATATTCCTTATATCAAACTGAATGAACTGGAATGAAAGAAGAATGATTCTACCAATGCCAGCCGATAACGATTTCCTGTTTACTGCGATATAATTATTATATCCGAAAAACATTATCATAGGAAATTATTGAAGTAAAATAATATATTATATTTATCCCATATCACAGCCATGATCTTATAATTCAGAATTGGAGTTTATCACTATAACGTGATAGAAAAATTCAGAACTCAAAGGCCTCTCGGATAGAAATAATAGGGAAAATATAGGACAAAAATGGAACGTTACCTCTCATACAAAAATGTTATTATTCGGAATGATTTATTTTACGTGGATATACATTCTTTGAAAGGAGAAACATGTGAAATTCAACCGACGATTCATATGAACAAAGAAACAAATATACAGAGTGGATCATTTAAGAAAATTTCCATACAGCAATTGACATTAGGCAGAACCTAACACATAGTATAGGTATATACAAGGTACATCAAAATATCCAACACTTATACACAACACTGCCTTGTCTGCGATATTGGAATACAATATCCATATGTGATAGATCATGTTTGTAGACACTCACATAGTATCTAGGACATATTATTATTACTAGGCAAAGTGGCGGATGAATCAAAATACCTAACACACGTACACAGTTCCACGGACTTAATTGACTACGATATCAGAAATCAATATAGTTATCAATGGTTGATCACTCAAAGCTATATTATCAAATATTCAATTTAATTAATATTCCTATAATATAAACGTCGTACTATTTTCTGTGAATAACACAGAGCACGCTAAGTGAATATTACAATATACAAAGTTCCAATGATTATGAGATATCAATAAAATGAATGAAAAATATAAAAATAGCCAGTATAGTGCTTCCTTAAAATACTGAATACTAAGAACAATAGGCGTCATACGATAAATGCGTGAATAGAATACTATACTCTTTCTACGACATCAGATAACTCCAGATACTGCGAAGACACCTCAACGATAATACCTATTTGCAAAGTCTGAAGATCTCAGAGATAATACACAGAAAATTCTAATAATCGTTACTCCCAAGCAGAACGTGAACATCGCATGATATGTCAACTATTAAAAAAAATTGATCAACAAGAATATAAAATGATGGAAACAAACCATTCTTTTTACTTGAGATATAACAAACACGATATCCATCATGCAAAATTTTCGGACAAAAAATTATTATACCTACACCTATTAATAACAATAAAGAGTATTCCAAGCGGAGATCACAATATACAAAGTTTCAACGATTGTTATATATCAACAAAATGAATGGAAAATGAGCAGAACAACCGGCGTGAATAGCCTATATTTTTACGTTATCCTTCATCAACCTTGAATAAGGCTTTATCAATAATACTAACGATAGATACGTGAAAAACAAATCTGTACTAAGAACAGTGAATGTCATTAAGAAGATGTGCGAATAAAATACTGTACTTTTTCTACGACAACTGATGTCATACCAGGCTTACAATACCTAGCTCTTTCAATAACAATGAGTACTCTGAAAGAAGACCACGCATACATTTCAATAGGGCAAAATCTCAAAGTTCTCAGGAACAGAATCGAAATAATATTTCAGGAGCATTGTCCAAATGGTCGACGTTGAAAATAACGTAAGATAGATGAACTTGCTAGAGATATCATGTGAAACCTCGACCGAGTTCCAAGATCTCCAAGTGTTCAATACCTTACCTCCTCCGTCCATCCTCCCTATAGGCATGCGCGATTTTCTTCAACCATCATAGGAGCTCTCATTCGTACGATCCAAGAGATGAAAACCTAATAATCTGACACCTATTGTGGCACCAAAAAATTTAAACAGCGTATATGAATTAACATCTTAGAGAAATATATCCAAACAGGTTATCATTCATCACGAAGAATCATTCCTCTCTTATCAGGTGAAATGTCTACAACTATATGAAATGATCACAAGGTACCATTCTTTCCAACCAAAATAAGGATACCATATGACAAACAGATCCATCATGATTGCACTGCTACACAAGAACTAGAATTTTTATTTCAGACGAAAAGCTACTCTACAAAATACAGATACGACCTGTTTTAGCAAACTGCTCCACATATAGGGTTCAACGTCACAAACATAATTATGCTGATGCTCCTAGATGCCATCTAAAGGAACTCGCTCGCCAGGCAGGTGATGCCACACTCACTAATTCTTT